GTGCGCGCTCGATTACTAGGTGTGTCTTGTCCAAATATTCAGATGCTTGCATTTTTTGCTCTTCCGTGAACGTATTCGCTAGAGCATCCACGGTGCTTGTGAAATTGAGCTGCTCCAAGCCGAGTTTTGAGGTACTTTTTAGTTCCGACCAAGAGTGATCTGCGGTTATAGATTTCTTTATCGTCTCCTTGTCCTTTGTGAAGTACTGTGTCGATATGTATCCGTCATCGCAATCTGCGATACTGAGCATAACTGCGCGAAACAACAAACTCACCAATAATGACAGTAATAGAAATAATAACAACGACAATTTTGATTGACAACGTGGTTACGGTACATGATTTAGCAAGCGACGATGTAAAAAACGAAGAAGATATGCAAATTTAAACTGAGGATTCAAGTGCCGCGTTCTGACGCGATCAGTCTGCTCCAGTTTAAATTCGAACTCGTCCGCGAGCCATCACTGAATAAGGACGACTATGTTTGAAGTGGAGAGTGCCAGCGATTTCTACCTGACAACGCCGTCTCTGACTTGGTTCAACATGAGCGAATCATAACTAACGTGTCAATTACCTCCGTGGACTTACTTTTAGGAATTCTGAGAATTCCTTATAATACTGGGCCACTCAGCGAATACATTCTCAGACATAGTTAGCCTTGGTTCAAATGTCAGTTACACATTACAAAGCATTATCACTTTTTCACCTACATCAACATTCGAAGTAACCGCGAAATCATGGTTACAGTCAGCAGTCCCCGCTCCTACGTATCAATCTTTAGTCAATAGGCTATAGCCACAACAGCACGTCTTACCAGGAATGCTTTTAGAACCAAGTTTACATACTCCATTTCTTGGACAAGCGGCAAAACGGGAGTGAAAGTGCCACAAGATGAGGAAGATGATGCTTTACTCCTCTCTATCCTTGCGTAAGTATTTTTGAAAACTTTTTCAAACAGAACTGCTCATTCTGAAAGTGTACATCGCACACTTTCACCCACTTCAATTTCCCCATTCATGAACTTCTGAGACTGACGTGTATGGAGCTTACAAGGAAAGTACTTTTGGTTGATAAGTCTTTTTATCTGCCCTTCATGGTAAAGAGATCTTCCTCCATTTCGCACTTCATCAACTTTCTAAGATTAATCCAGGCTGCGCAGCGTGGGCGAAGTAAGCAGCGTACGCTCGCATTTTACTATTTTGAGGAACGGTCAAAAGGCACACTTTCCCCAAAAGTCATCAATTTAACAGCTCAATCCGGTGTTTTTCAAGAATACCGGACGAAGTCTTCTAGCTTACTAATTATCTGCAGTCAAATTTGGTAAGTTTGACGGTTTTGCTCGCCATTTTGCATTTCCAATGGTTTTGACCTTCAACATCTATGATTTGAATCTATTTCAAGAGAATAAGATTAACCACCACATGCAATAATCCTTTAATTTCTTTGGTCTCTTGGAAGTCTCCTAGAGTATATAGCAACCAGTGCAGTAATTCATTTCATTTCATTTCATTTTCATTTCATCCATACGCTCGAGGCATTCCAAATCAAGACATCAAAGTGTTAGCCATACATGAAACGAAACAGTGACATAACATCATCAAGACATCCCAAGTCCAGACTAGACGCCTATATGGAAAGAAATAGTGCAGCAATAGGGTGAAATGCTGCGCAACGTGTCCTAGGGTTGCACATCTTTTCCCTTTTTCGGAATTTTAGATACCCTTAGAACTTTATTAGACAAAAAATTTGCTATTTGGTGCTGCATTTTGGCGATAAAAATCGCGAGTATTGATATAAACCCTGTTTGGGAAGCATGCTCACGTACGCAGTGTACGCTTTCAGCCTACATCAATCCGACTTAACGTTCAGCTGCATTAAAGGTGTATGATTCTATCAACTTTTAAGCATCTCTAGGCTAGGTGACAAGATGTTCACTTTGGGCGTTCTTGCCATGTCTTGGTATAACTTGGCTTGCTAAGTTTGCGCCATATGTATTCTCGATAGCTTAGAGTTTTCCTGGACGATGACCTATCAAAGAGTCGAGCTCACAGTTTTCAATTAGATTCATTTCCTAAAATAGATTTGCCATCTTAAATCCAAATGGATAAGCAACTTTTACATTTTAGCCCTGTAGATGAGGCATCTCAATATCTGAGCGACCTGAGAGAAGCCAGGAAACGCGCACCTTCAGGTTTACAACCATATAGATTTGAATCCACTCACTTTCACAATCAGGCTAGTTTTAGCAAAACTCACTCGGTGCGATGGACCTTGCGGGCATAGGTATCCGCCGGAATCGATGATCCTCTTAGGAAGATGTGGACACATGTTGTGTAATGTTTGCAGCGGATTGGTATACAATGATGATGGTAGGAGAAAATTTTCTGGTTTTGATGTCCAACGCTACTTTCAACACAAGGACGGCAGACCGCAGTCCTTTTACTGCTGTTCAGGATTTGCTCAGATATCTAATGTTGAAGTTGCGCGCCAAAACATCACCAAATGATCCTGCATTAATCCAGCTCAGCATCAACAAAACCATTCGTTTCAACGGCGACTGTGCTCATATTGGCATTAGCAGTTGTATTTGAAACTAGAATCAGAAATCTTCCGGCCAATTTCGGAAGTAAGGGCATCCTTGCCCTTACTTCCGAAATTGCCAAATTAGGAAGACTGCAGACAGCATTTATTCAATAGCTCTGTGTATAATCGCATAATTCTTCGATTTTCGTGGAAGCATTTTCAGGGTTGTATTGAGTTGCTCTTTGTTTAGTTATCGTATCATTGGAAGAATTTCGTAAAATCGCATCCTTTACCAGTGTTCCTTTTTTTTCAGAAATGTTCCGACCTAGAATTCGCATACGTAAGAACCTGTTAAGCAAAAGACATATTTTTACTCAGCTAGACGCGTGGAGAATTATCTTAAACAGAGTGCAATTCTCTGCTTTTTAATATTTTTCTTTTCATTACATTGCTTTCCTTTATATATCCCATTCAACGTAGTTTTGTATAGAGTATGTAACATTTAGGCACAAAAGGTTGCAGCAATTTTGATTGCGTATTCGCTACTTTATACGATTACCTACCGGAAGACTATGCTCGAAAAGCCTACGAAAATCATGTTTGTGCCCTATGTTCTACTACTTACATGGCGTTCCTTATTTCAAAAACTACAGATAATTGCGCGTCAGAAGGCTCGCGAATCAGCCCTTCACTATGGCTTTGAAACGCCGCCACGCAAAGCTCGGTCACCAATGTGTGGTACCCCATGCAGACGCAACCAAGGAATGAAATGTTTGCACCCATGTCCGAGGGGCAGGCGCAGGTATGTTATTCGCATTATTATCAGTGACTCAGCTAGTTGAAGGGTTAAAACAGGTAATATGCCACCTCCAGGAGGATGTGCTAACATTGCCTGTAGGGGTATTCGAACGCGATGATTACTAAAATACGCTAATTCCTCCGCAGCTCCGCTTTTATGATGTCGGTACGTACGTTTACGGTAGGCTCAGAACCTGGTAATAAACTGTCATGTACACAAAGGGGAAATGACGTATGGTTGAAAAAATGTTTGCCTGATACAGGAGCTTTCTGCGATGGCGCAGTCACCTCAAAGCGAAGGTTCAGCTTAGCCTAGGAATCGGTGTGAGTTTGCAAGTGTTGACGGTGTTGCAAGTGTTAAAGGTGTTGCAAGTATTGACGGTGTTGAAAGTATTGCAAGTGTTGAGAGTGTTGAAAGTGTTGAAAGCGTTAAAAGTGTTGCAAGTGTTGAAAGTGTTTCTCATTCTTCCTCGAA